GGTGTCTCTCATCTTCCTCTTGACAATACCCCAGAGATTCTCTATATGGGGTTCAAGGTCAGGCGAGTTTGCAGGCCAATCAAGCACAGTAACACCATGGTCACTGAACCAGCTTTTGGTGCTTTTGGCAGTGTGGGCAGGTGCCAAGTCCTGCTGGAAAATGAAATCAGCATCTCCATAAAGCTTGTCAGCAGAAGGAAGCATGAAGTGCTCTAAAATGTCCTGGTAGATGGCTGCGTTGACTGTGGACTTCAGAAAACACAGTGGACCAACACCAGCAGATGACATGGCAGCCCAAATCATCACTGACTGTGGAAACTTCACACTGGACTTCAAGCAACTTGGGCTATGAGCTTCTCCACCCTTCCTCCAGACTCTAGGACCTTGGTTTCCAAATTAAATGCAAAATTTACTTTCATCTGAAAAGAGGACTTTGGACCACTGGGCAACACAGTGGCTTGACACGAGGAATGCGACATGTGTAGCCCATGTCTAGGACTCGTCTGTGCGTAGTGGCTCTTGATGCGCTGACGCCAGCCTCAGTCCACTCCTTGTGAAGCTCCCCCAAATTCTTGCTGGTGCACCTTTTCCTACCACACTTTTTCCTTCCACTCAACTTTCTATGAATATGCTTGGATACAGCACTCTGAGAACAACCAGCTTCTTTAGCAATGAACTTTTGTGGCTTACCCTCCTTGTGGAGGGTGTCAATGACTGTCGAAGGGTGTCAATGATTGTCTTCCCCATGATTGTGTAGCCTAGTGAACCAAACTGAGAGACCATTTAAAGGCTCAGGAAACCTTTGCAGGTGTTTTGAGGTAATTAGCTGATTAGGGTGTGACACCATGACTTTCCAATATTGAACGTTTTCACAATATTCTAATTTTCTGAGACACTGGATTTTGGGTTTTCGTTATCTGTAAGCCATAATCATCAAAATGTAAAGAAATAAAGGCTTCAAATATTTCACTCTATGTGTAATGAATCTATATAATATATGGGTTTAACTTTCTGAAATGAGTGACAAAAAATATTGACCCTTTTCATGATATTCAATTTTTTGAGATGTACCTGTATACAGCTTGCTAAGTCTTTTTTAAAATCCTAATGTATCCTATATTTTAAGTTTCTCTTTTCTTTTTCCAATCCATTATTAAGCCAGCATGTCAAATGTTAATAGTAAGGTTTAGGCTACAACAAGTTTAAATGCACTGAACTGCACACTCACTGTGACCATGTGTGTGTCGATCACTCCGTTTATGGGGTTTCTCAGGAACATGCTGACAATGGATCATGGTGTCAGGAAAATTACTCACTGATTAATCACCTTCATTTCACAACTACAGTGTTTACAGTAGCATATAAAAGTACAACACCACTAATCTAGAAGCTATTGTTTTGCCATTTTTAATTTACTGATTCATTTTTTATTCAGCAACAGAAAATCTGACCATCTGTACAAAAAAATCATCTGTTTTTTTTTAATAGATTCACCACATTCTACCTTTTGCCCCACGACTAAGTCAATTTGTTCTCATTCTGAAGAACTTAAAATTCAAACAAATCCAGATCAGGATCATCAACCTTTTCTGTCCAAATGACCAAGAGAATGATGATATAAAATCTCAGAATCACAATGATTAATAACTCGCATGAATAACATTATCACACATGTTTTACATCATTCTAAACTGGTTTCTCAATTAAACAGCACACACACTCACTCACTCACACTCACACTCACACACTCACTCACTCACTCAC